TGCTCACCAGTTTCAACATAAAAATTGAGAAAATTGAGCGCAGGACAGTAATTATGTATTTGTTCTTGCAAGGAAAGCAACTACAGGATATTTTTACGGAGATGCATGCCGTATATGGAACTGATTGCCCATCCTATTCTCTGATAAAATGTTGGTGTAAGAAAAGTAATGATGAGGTCAAAGAAGCGATAGAGGGCTGGTTTCTGACGTAGAGAGGTCCTCTATTCTCAAGGTCTTTTCAAGGTCAAACACAGATGGTAAACATGTATAACTCTGGGAGGCGACTGAATAAAGAAAGACTAAGCATAATACCAAATTTCAGCTTTCTACCTTTATTCTTTCATGGTCAGGTAAAAAAACTTTTGATATGCCCCTCTTATGTCGATTTTTGAAAAAAACCAAAAAATCAAACAAACCCATAACTTGCAACAGCACCCAAAAAATATTCTAATGAAATTAATCAAGTTGAAGAAAAAAAGAAAACCGAACAACTAAGTCATAACAAGTTGCATATTTTACAGATGCAAACCAAGTTACCAACAATGAACGTCTTTCATAAAAAGGGAAAAAGATACATGTATTTGTTGTAGGATTACTACGGCTTAGCCTTTTCTTTTCACGTGACCCTTTCAAATGCTATTCTTCTTCTTATTGCTAAAAAAATTATCTCCAAGGCTCGAGAAGAGAAAAGAGAGAGACAAGAGGAGAGATGGTCAGCAATAATCACAATACAGAAGAAAAGATGCCGCATTACAGGTCCACTCGAGCCTTCATCATCATCCAGTCCCAGATCTGCGACAGACATCGGCGATCATGGTTTTCCATTCATTCCTTTGCTCGGATGCTCTAACAAAAGCTACGTTTCCCTGATCTTTTCCTGTTACCCATTTGTACAACATACTTAGGGAAACTGAACAAATGGGTAACAGGGAAAGATCAGGGTAACGTAGCTTTTTTTAGAGCATCCGAACAAAGGGAGGAATGGAAAACCATGATCGCCGATGTCTGTCGCAGGTCTGGCACTGGATGATGATGAAGGCTTGGGTTGACCTGTCATGCGGCATCTTTTCTTTTGTGTTGTGATTATTGTTGACCATCTCTCCTCTTGTCTTTCTCTTTCCTCTTCTTGCGCTGTAGACATTGTCTATCGTTCACGTTCCTAACCGCTGTACCAGCTCACTCAAAACCTTTCCAGTCTAATCGAACAAGGAATGTTCACCGACATCAGTGCTGGAGTGGTTAGGTCCTTCTGCGTCACTCTCAGAAGACGTGAGTTCCAAATCCATGTGGGGAGTGGTTTCTTTAATATTCTTTCAGTCGTATACTTCCGTCTTCTACCCCATGGTTCACCTTGATAGGCAAGATAGAAGCAGCCCGCCTTCTAAAGGTGCTAAATAGTGTTGGTAGGGCGTGGAGTTCCGACAATAATTAATTGGTCGCTTTTAAGTACATGGGGGCTATCCCGAAAAATGCTGTTTTGAGAAAATCAAAGGTGAAGTTGTAGGTCCCTTGTTCAGTTTCTTTAAAAGACAAGGAGGTTTTCTCTGTAACCAAACAAATATACACACCAATGAAACCAAACTTCTCCTATAGGTAGAGCAACGCCCATTTTGGTGTAGGTCAAGATTTTTGGAAACCCCCGAAATCTGGGTTAGCCTGCTTGACCTTAAAAGCGACCAAATGGGCTAAATAGTGTTGGTGGGGCGACAATAATTAATTAGAAAATTGTATTACGACCGCAGACAATCAGCAAGGGAAAATACTGAGGTTAGTTTCCAAAAACCTCATTTAATTATTGATTATCTCCCTTTACACAGTGAACTTGTACTCAATAGATTCTGTTACAGAAAGTGAACCAGCAGTAGTGGTGAAGTTGTTTATTGACTATATTATAAAGCAGCTTCAACAAAAGCATTGTAGCAACTAAATCGGGGTTAAAAAGTAAATAAAAAGACAATATAAAATTAATAACATGAAAAACAACAATAATACTGGCCCTGTCTTGACCAACAGTATACACTATTTGTGAGGCAGCGTGGTGGAATCAGGCTCTCGTCAAAATAATCAAAGTGAAGAAACTTGCATTTTTGGGCAGGTTTGTGAATTTTTATCAAATTTTCGCTTTTTGGCTGAACACCATTCATGCCCATTAAAGAACTCATTTCTGTGTTGATTTTTCTGAAAAACGATTAAATTTTTAAAAAAATGTAAATTTTCAGTTACCACGGACTCTTAATCTAAGGAAATAACTAATCTTTGGCGGCCATTTTCTCACTAATTTTACCTCTGAAAACAGGTGACCCCCATCTCTTTTATTTGCAAATATATCTCGACTTGTATTCAAGATAAATGGATCTTTTTTTCCATAAAAATAAAGACAAGTGAACAAGCTTTAAGATGGTACCATTAACTCTACATGCCTCAAAATTGACGAGAGCCTGATTCCACCGTGCTGCCTCACAAATCCGAAACATTACATTCATAATTACAGCTTCACGGACTACAAATTATACACACAATAACAAAACAGCAACAGGAACAGGAATGAAAAAGCAAAACAGTAAATCAAATTTAAAAACGAATAATAAATAAATTATTGTAAACTACAAGATAAGCTATTTGATAGACAACATATTTTTCACTCATGATAATAATGACATATTTTATATCCCGGCTCAACCCTGATTAAAGTACACATGCTCTGAGCGCTTTGCACTACAATTCAACACAACAGTTACGTAAAACGTTGTGTTTGGACCAAAAGAATGTCTCTCTAAATATTTATCTTATCAAGAAATAATAATAATAATAATAATAATAATAAATAGCATTTATACTGCGCATTTCCATTTCCTAAAAGATGCTCAATGCGCATTACAATGAAAAAGACATCACATCTTAAAAATTAATCGACACAAATGTGTACGTAAAACAAAGTGTTATACATATAACATAAATGCATATGTGTAAAATTTTATACCAGAAAAACAGTCTCGCAGTGAGGTTGAAAATGTGTTCACTAAAAATATACAATGCAATATAAATTCACGAACAGTCAAAATACAGTTGAAACGTGAGTAACTAGAAACATTCATTAAAACATTGATTCTATACAGATAGAAACACATTTCCACTCTATCTCTCTCTCTCTCTCTCTCTCTCTCTCTCTCTCTCTCTCTCTCTCTCTCTCTCTCTCTCTCTCTCTCTCTCTCTCTCTCTGTCTGTCTGTCTGTCTGTCTCTCTCTCCCTATCTCTCTCTCCCTCTCCCTCTATCTCTCTCTCTCTTTCTCTCTCCCTCTCTCGCTATCTCTCTCTTTTCTCTCTCTTTTCTCTCTCTATCTCTCTCTTTTTCTCTCTCTCATTCTCACTCGCTATTTCTTCAGTCTCACAGTCTGGCATACACATGCATATATATCACAGTACATCATTATGACAGGTATGCTTTTGTGAATAAAAAATGCTTCAGCTGATTTTTGAAAATGGAAATTTTTGGGGCAGATCTTATTTTATATGGGATTTCGTTCCATACCTGTGGACCAAAGAACAAAAAGGAACGCTCGCCGTATGTTTTGTAGTTTTGTTTTGGAGTTTTAAGAATTAGATTGTCAGAGGCTGCTCTAGGTGGATTATATAATTCCAGGAATGTTTTAAGATAAAAAGGTGCACTATCATTTATACATTTAAAACAGAGAACACTCTGGTTAATACGTCTTACACTAAACAAAAACAAGTAATTATATAATTAAGACCCAAAAAAACAACCACCTTTTTTCTGCCTTAACACCGACGAAATTGTGTTGATGATACTGATGTTAATAATGACGATGACAAAGATAACACTGATGTTGATGAAATAGCTGCAAGCTGCGGATGAAGACGACAATGACAATGAAAAGATTTGAGAGTGTTTTTTGTTTCATTTAGTTTTGTTTTGTTGCCCGTTTATGTTTTTAAAAGAATGCATTTACTTATTGTTTCGCGGCAAATGACGTTCTGCCCTTGGGAAAGGCACTTTACACGTATTTTTTAATTTTATTTATTTATTTATTTATTTATTTACTTATTTATTTATTTATTTATTATTATTATTATTATTATTATTATTATTATTATTATTATTATTATTATTATTATTATTATTATTTTTATTATTATTATTATTATTATTATTATTATTATTATTATTATTACTATTATTATAATAACATTACTATCATTATTATCATCATTATCATTAGTATTATTATAATAATTATTAGTAGTAGTATAAACAGATTTGGCTTGTCATTAAAATTTTAGTCAGTGAAACCGAACATGCCAAAGTTCAGCTAGGGCGTCGATGCGATTATACCTGTATTTGACCCCAACCAATCAAAACTCGTCGTTCTTTCAGCGTTAAGTGTGTGGACTAAATCAGCTTCGCGATGATATCAGACAGCACACTATTGTTGTAGGTCATAAGTGTCTCGACGTGGTGGAATCAGGCGCTCGTAAATTGTTTGGCTTGTGGATTTATTGGTATTGCCTTAAAACTTGTACATTTGTCTTGCTTTCAGGGGAAAGAAAAACTGTTTATCTTTAATACCAGTCGAGATACTTGAGATTGGAGGAGGTGGGGGTCGCTTGGTTTCAGAGGTATTAGCGAGAAAATATTTTTCAATAAAATCCACACAGAAATGGGTTCTTAAGGACATAAAAGGTGCTGATCTAAAAAAAACTTTTAAAAATAAAATTGCCAAATGAACTGGAAAATCCCAATTTCTTCATTTTCATTATTTTGACGAGCGCCTGATTTCACCACGCTATCTCACATATGATACAACGTTACAGTCACACATTCATCCAGCTTTCAATGAACCTTACACTTATTTCCCATATCCGAAACGGATACATGGAGAAACTGATAACGCACTTTGCGATGTCTCGCACTATCTTTGATTTCACTGATTAGCGCGAAGTGTGTTGTAGTCTTTGTTATTGTCATCTCTCCGCGTAAACTACCAACGCTGTGTGATTTATGAAGTGCTATGAATAAATGTTATTCCTAGCGTGTTAGTGACTTCGAAACTTTTCGATGTGAGTGAAGTTTGTGACTTATTCATTGGCGCAGGCAAAAATGTACGCTTTTTTCTTTCTGTCTCGCGAACACAGCGGAACATAGTTAAAAATATATAATTATTTTACATAATACCGCCCTTTGACCTATGCGTGACATTATTGATCTGAAAAAATGAGGACAATGACTTATTATCCTACGTTACGCATATTTTGTTTGCTTTTACTTCTTTCCTCTATTCATTTACTGGATCAGGCAACGTAGTAAATTAGCTACACCATTCTGTTTTCCTGTTTTGTCATAAAATCGATAAGTTATTATCATTATTGTTATAATTATTATTACTATCATAAGTGGAACTGGTAGTAGTAGTAGTAGTGGTAGCAGCAGTAGTAGTAGTAGTAGTAGTAGTAGTAGTAGTAGTAGTAGTAGTAGTAGTAGTTGTTGTTGTAGTAGTAGCAGCAGCAGTAGAAACGTCGTTGTATCTTTATCTTTTTCATTGTTACTGTTATTAATGTCCATGCCTAAACCACTCAAACAATCGTTTATTTTTAAACCGTTAGTCACCCCACTTTCGAAATACTCAAGATTGTTTGTAAATAAAAGGATTGACCCAGAATCAACGACAAGGAACTTAAGTACGCCTACCTAGATCAGTGAAATGACTTTTAAAAGTTTCTTTACCAAAGATAACCAATCGGTTTAGCGGTAAAAACTTGAAGGGAGTGCGAAAAAGGAGGACAAGACTGCAAAAACAATCATGGCTATGTCTCGACTACAGACTATTCTTGTTCATGCTTTCATCCTGTGGATCATGACCAGCACAACTCGAGCGGTTGTCCGACCCACAGCTATCACGATCGAGGACAACGGCTACAAGAATGTGCTGGTGGCGATTCATCCATCGACCAAGGAGAGCAGTTCTTTGGTCGATTACATAAAGGTAAGCAAAAGGAGTTGTGTACGTAGAGGTCGCTACTCTAGAATTACAAAGTTTTATCTGCTCATTTCTTAGTTTTGAGGAATTTGACGTTTACAATTTAGAGTATCACAACATGCTAAGCTTTTTCGAATACAATTCTTTGAGTACCTCGATGAGGACTCCGAATAATCTTACGATTTTGATAGAGCAGACAGAACAATTTGTTTCTGCTCTCATAGTTTTAGTAACTCAAAACGGGCAAATCTTTCAGATAAATCTTTGTAATTCTAAGGTAACGAAGTGCTTTCGCCTCTTAAATGACCCAATAGTTTTGATAAGGGCGTAAATCTAACTTAAACCTATACCATTAGGTAGAAGTGCCAATTTAGTTTTAGTTTTAGTCTTACGATGGCTGTCATGGCACTTGCAATATAAATATGTCATGTAAGTGTCAAAGATTGGAGGCGTTACTTGAGAGTAACATACAAAGAGAAAAAAAAGGAGGAGAGATAAAGAAGATAGATGTTTGATACGAAAAAATGAGCAAACCACGCCACAGCACACGTCAGCAACCAACACCAATTTAGCAGATAATATTTATTATCGTCACTTGGTTTATGACAAGATTTTGTTTCTCAACAGAAATATTTTCTCTTTTTATGTACGTGCTTTTTAGGCCCCATCGACTCAATGTCAATCTAGATCATTTAGGAGGCGGGCTTCATTCCTGCCTGTCAGGGCTAACCTAACCTAAAACGGATACAACATCCCAGTAGAAAGACCGATATACTGTAGAAAAATCCCCCCCCCCCCCCAAGAAATTGAACTTCAAGTCTTCTGTGTGCGAATGTCACACGGCAAAAAAGGGTTTTCCTCACCCGAGATTCTCAACAGTGAGGAGCTAGAAGAACTTAACTAGCTTTTGACTAATGCTTATGTGTAATCTACCCTCGACTTTTGGAACTGCTTCCTTTATGGTCTATGAACGCTTGACTATTTTAACTCTGTTTCTCATAAATACTGCATAAAATAGGGCTTTACAGTACACATGTCTCAAACACGAAAAATTAATGGGACGTAAAATTAGATCTAGGCGAGTAAAAAGCAATTTAGTGTTAGTGTAGCTGATTTAAAAAATCAATGTATTGTTAGGTATATTTTATTCGTGCTCAAGAGCTTCGCACTCCAATGAGGAAACTATCGAGACAAGAGGGCTACTCAAAAGTACGAGTAGTTTCATTAAGTGGAAAAACTCTGGTACGGGGGGATCTTCCTTCTTTTCGAAAATAAGTAATAATAGATCGCCTTCCGTGGAGGACATAATGGCTGCTCCATGTTTTCCTTCAGGATAGCGGAGACCCCGAAAGTACAATGGGGGCCTCCAGTGTCTAAGTGAGTTGTGAGTTTAGACTCAAGAGTAAAGTTAAGCTAGTGTCGGTGACACGAGCATCAGATGGGTGGTCACTGAGGTGTGTCAATGAGCATGACATGACAACCAAAGCTAAAAAAAAACAACCCAAGGCGCAATGGAATGCTTGGGAATTTGTTCTGTATTGGTGTGATATTTGTATTTATATATGTATAGTTGTATGTATTTATGTATGTACTTATAATCATGTATTTATGTTTGTAAGTATGTTTGCCACATTGTAAACCAAATTGCCATTAAAATGTAATTTACTATTTCTATTATTTAGTTAAAGTAAGTGTAAATTACGTCAAGTAAGTTCAGAATGAAGACCGCAACAAGAGAACTTTACCAAAAACGTTGTACTGCGTTATAGCTTAATCTTTCTTATGTGCACATCCCCTCCCCTCCTTTTTTGTATTTTTAACCAGGAAAGCTATGCCAATTGTTTAAAACCTTGACTGCAACCCTAAGAGTCAGGGTTTGATATACTACGTTTAGGTTATGTAGATCTAGTTGTAGATGGTTTAATGCCCGATTGAAATCATATTCGGATCACTTAGGAGCCGACCCAAGCTGAGAGAGATACACCAATCTAACAGACAGAAGAGATACTCAGAATAAATTTAGAATAAAAAACAACCTCCAACAGAGAAACAGAACTAACTCTCTCTCTCTCTCTCTCTCTCTCTCTCTCTCTCTCTCTCTCTCTCTCTCTCTCTCTCTCTCTCTCTCTCTCTCTCTCTCTCTTTCTCCCACCATCCTCCTCTGTCTTTCTGTCTTTCTGTCTTTCTGTCTGTCTGTCTGTGTGTGTGTCTCTATCTATCTATCTATCTATCTATCTATCTATCTATCTATCTATCTATCTATCTATCTATCTATCTATCTATCTATCTATCTATCTATCTATCTATCTATCTATCTATCTATCTATCTATCTATCTATCTCAGAACCACACACACACACACACACACACACACACACACACACACACACACACACACACACACTGTCCCTCTCTCTCTCTCTCTCTCTCTCTCTCTCTCTCTCTCTCTCTCTCTCTCTCTCTCTCTCTCTCTCTCTCTCTCCACTCGAGAGTTTGAATTTCTTGTAAAAAAGTAACCCCCCCCTCCTAAAAAGAAACCGAGGTTACTCTCATAAAAAGAGAATTTTCTCAAATATCCTGTCTTGTACGTGTGGTTGACTTTGTCAAAGGGACTGCTATGGCCGCCGCCTCTTTGTTGTATAAAAACAAACACTCACATGAGGGGAACACACAATATGTCACGCTATAATTAAGTGTGCGCCAACCTTCGCTGACAATAATGGTCATTTTGTGCCGGGAAAATGTAAGTCTGATACACACAAGAGGAGCTGATGGAAAGTTAAGAAGTAGTATCTACCAGTAGCACCCTCCAACCACTCGCCCTTGCCCTTCATTTGGTTCAATCTGAGTCAGAGAGCGCACTGCATCGTTAACCGGAATTTTGTCATTCTGCGCAATCTCATCCATCCAGTGCCAGATCTGCGGCTCATCGGCTATCATGGTTCTCCATTCATTCCTTTGCTCGGACGCTCTTTAAAAAGCTACGTTTTCCTGATCTTTCCCGGCTACCCATTTGTTCAGGTTTCCTATGTAGGTTGCCCTGGGCCTACACCTGCCTCGTTTGCCTTCAGTTTTGCCAGTGAGAGCTAGATGTTCAAGACCTTTATATCCATTCAGGTGTCCCCAAAACTGCTTTTGTCTTTTCCTGATTGTTTTTAACAGTGAACTTCCAGAGTGAGCTTCATCTAGTAATCAAGTATAACCTCATTTAATTTCTTTATACACAATCTAAGATACCATAGTGGCGTCGGTAGCCTAGGGGTTAGGCTACCGGACTCGTAATCGTGAGATTGCGGGTTCGGGGGTTCGAGCCTCAGCTCGGTCCGACGTTGTGTCCTTGGAAAAGGCACTTTACACGAACTGCCCACTTGGCTCCGTCCTATCAGAGAAGGACGTTAAACTAGGAGGTCCCGCCCCTTAAATAACCTAATAGTGTTGATAGGGGCGTTAAACCCGTACCATTTCACCATTTATTTTTTAAGAAACCATAAAACTTGTCTATGGATTTTCCCCAGAAAATGTTCACAGAAGGCTCCATTTACTTATACAATGCCACAGAGAAGAGGGCATATTTCCATGACGTCACAATCCTAGTACCCAACACCTGGGCAGACAACGCCGCCTACCAACAAGCCACGTCAGAACTCTACAGCAACGCGGACGTTGTCGTACGGGGTAAGAGGGCTGACACCTTGACCTTGACCTTGACCTTGACGTATAGCTGAATGTATCGAAGTATTTGTTCCTTAATTTTTAATGTATGTGTTTTTAATGTATGTGTTTTAAAATGCTATGTGTTTCAAAATGCTATTTTATTATTATTATTATTAGTAGTAGTAGTAGTAGCAGTAGTAGTAGTAGTAGTAGTAGTAGTAGTAG